TTGTCGCTTTATATATATTTGAGGACATGGGTGTCTAGCGGATTAAGACCCCACAACTCACTGTGCATACCCGAATTGTCAGGGTTCGCTTGTCGGGGTTAGAATCCCATACTTTCCGGGGAAGTTTGATTTGTCAGCACCATACGTAATCCCGATGGTTTAATGAAAATGAGGGGGGCACGGGTGGGCCAGTCGTCTAAGGCGCCGCGATTCGCTGTGCGGAGTTGCGTCCCTTGGGCACGCCAGAAACCTATGATTGTGGGTTCGAAAACCGGTTCGCCCCGATTATGTTTCTAGGTTTGTCAGCACCATACCCGTGCTCGTGTGTTTCACCGAAGTGGTAAACGTCTGAGACCTGCATCACTTCGGGCTTTCCTCCCACATTAAGCTGACACGCCGTGACATAACTGGAATACTGTTAAAAGCGGCGTTAAACTAAACTCACTCACTCACTAATGAAAATGATACAGATCTATGACCGGCGTCACTTTGGGCTTTCCTCCAGCATAACTCAAAACTGTTAAAAGGGGCAGTGGGGTAGCCTAGTGGTTAAAGCGTTCGCTCCTCACGCCGAAGATCCGGTTTCGATTCCTTACATGGGTACGATGTGTAAATCCCGTTTCTGGTGTCCCCCGCCGTGATATGGCTGGAATATAGCTAAAAGCGGCGTACTCACTCACTCAGCTGTTAAATTGGACTTTAAATCCAACCCTGTGACTGTTGGATACTGAAGTTCAGGGTTTTAGTATATATGATGTGCATCTTTATGGGTAATACTAAACTTTCAACCGACAATGAGTTCATTCAAAACTATAACCGCTTTAAAATGGTCAGGGAAACTGGTTTTCCAGGGCCCATTCCTCAAGACGAATCGTCATGGGTAATTTGGACATCGGCCAATCACAACGGCTGCACAGTTTGACATCTGGGCGAGTGACGAGAAGAGAATAGTTATCGTCAACGCTAGAGAATAATCAGTCTTGATTATCGGATTACCCGTAAAGATCCAGGGTAAAATAGATCTTTAGCAACCCATGCTTGCCCTAAAAGGCGACTATGCTTGTCGCAAGAGACAACTTACGGATCGGTGATCGGGGACGAGGATTTGATTGATGCATGTCATCGTATCCTAATTGCGTAGATATATGCTCATGATGTCAATCACTGGATTGCCTGGTCCAGACTCGATGATTTACAGCTTGAATATTGCTGAGTGCGGCGTTAAACAGCAAACAAACTATTGGGCGTGAAAGGCAAAATAGTGGTGACAATTGTCCGAATGGATCACTGAAAGTCGGTGATGACACCAGGTGTTCGCGAAAGATGACGGTTCTTTTTGATCACTAGGCTGTGTTTGATCAGCAAATTTTGAAGGTGTCGTCAGGTATATAGTATCTCACATGGGGTCATAACAGTCCCGATAGCACACGTCGTCATATGACACACGTATGATCGTAACTCCCATACTCCAACATAGACTTGAGATAGTCGTAGCGCTAAGATCGCTTTGTGCAAGTGGTCCCTGGCTTAAAGCATATATATATATATTGCTCCCCTCCTAATATCGTAACGCATCTGTGACACAAGTGACTGTGTCAACGTGATTGCAGCTCCGCACTAAGGCTACAGACCCGTGAAGATTCCGGGGTAGAATAGGTCTTCAGCAACCCAAACTTGCCGTAAAAGGCGACAAACGGGATCGGGTGGTCAGGCTTAGATCGATGCTCATGATGTCAATCACTGGAGTGTCTGGTCCAGACTCGATTATTTTACAGACCGCCGTCATATAGCTGGAATATTGCTGAGTGCGGCGTTAAACAACAAACAAACAAACAAACTAAAGCTACAGGAAATGTTCTCTGGCCTCGACTCCATTGCCAATAGAATATCTATGTTTCAAATTCCCCTTGTCACACGAAGCAAATTTTATCCATAAAATATAATGCTTGATAACTGACCCTATGAAAGGGGCGAGTTCAATTTGTGCCCAGTTTCTAGGTATTCTTGGTCGGAAACAAATATTTACATTTCCGCCTCACTTTGTTTTTTATAAGAAAAAAAATAAGCCCTAAGGCCAGATTCGACAAAAGAGGATCGAGATACAATGACCCAGCAGAATGTGTCATCGTGCCCCGGCGGCGTCGGTCGTTGCTCATGGTATCAACCACTGGTTTACTTGATTATTTACACGCGAGAATATTTCTCGAAATTTGCTGACTGCAATGTTACAGCATTAATAGGTAATACATAATCACTTGAATCACGTAACTAGTCATTAGTGCATGTTTATACAGACCTTTCCCATACCTGTTACGATTGTGCCATCAAAATCAATCAACATAACCGTATCTGTCATGGGAGTGTTCAATTACATCGCAGTATATGGGATGTAATATTCTGTACGCATGTGCCATCATTCAGATTTACAGCTGATTCGAGTTGGTACGACGCTAGCCTGGTAAAGCTTGCCTCAGTCGGACCGGAGCGGACGTTCACCTGGTTAACACGATTTCCTCCCAGTGTGTGGCGTGTGTAGCGTGCGTAACCAAATGTCGCGAGGGTGGTGTACTCTGTGAAATGTCGTCGGGATATGAGCCTGTTTCAGGCTGCGATGCCTAACAAGACGGATTACAGATACCTCCGTGAGAATTCGTCAGTTTGTTTCCGGTTATAGTGAGCATCAATGTTGACAAGTGGATTGAAAATCTTTTATGGGCGTTTCATTAAGTTGTCGTGTCGCCATTGCATCAAAATGTTGATAATCATCCAGTCTTAACGTTTACCATCAGAGGGACAGGTATTCGCACAGAAGTCTCTACATGCCACTAGTAACACTGCCAACAAGTGTGTCAGAACTTTCCAACACACAATGATCATGGGTAGAATTGGTCTTCAGCAACCCTTGCTTGTAAGAGGGTCCCCTGGTCAGGGATTTGTTTGTTTGTTTGTTTTTTGTTTAAAGAAGCACTCAGCAATATTCCAGAAAAATGACAGGGGTCAGGATCCAGTTAGTTATGACAAGCATAGGACTTCTCCTTTACGGCAAGCATTGGTTGCTGAAGACCTATTCTACCCCAGATTTTCATGGGACGGGTGGTCAGGGACGCTGACTTGGTTTAAGTCATTGTTCCCCAACTGCTGAGATCGATTTTTGTGTCAACCACTTCACTCTCTGGTCTGGACTCCATTATTTACAGCTGTAATATTGCTGAGTGGGGTGTTAAACAATAAAACATATCAATAGGACATGCCTCGTTGTCAGTCCGAGCAAATTTGGTATAGTCCCTCAAACACCAATTTGTTTCGCTGGTTCAAATATTATTGTATATATCAATTCAGTCATCAGTATTAATGATAACTCCCATTACACATGGACAATGTATCAGTTTTGCACATTGTATTACTTATAATGTAAAGAACCAGGCAAAACAAGCACCAGGGCATAGACTGTGGTCCCTTTTACTGAGCCTGGGCTCCGTTCCACAAAGCGATCTTAGCGCTAAGTCGGTCATAACTCCCATTCTTTAACACTGACTTACGTCGTAGCGCTAAAATCACTTTGTGGAACGGGTCCCTAGTCTGCAGGTTGATGGTGCCTCCTTTAAAATAGTTTGTTTGGATGAAATAGAGATGATACTGTTGGTTGGTTTGTTGTTCAAACCGCACTCAGTAATATTCCAGCTATATGAGGGTGGTCTGTAAATAATCAAGTCTGGACCAGACAATCCAATGATTAATATCATGTGAGTCGATCCACTCAATTGGGTAGCCATATTATGACTATAGGTTTGATGTGCTATTAAAGAACTATGTAAATCAGTCTGTGTGATGTGGAAAAATGAGTGCCAAGGCACTGTAGCTCACCTGGACATGTGTCAGTTTAAAATGTCAAGAAAGACATCCACTTTCAGCATTGTTTTTAAAAGATTTTCTGCATTAATACCAAGGAGACAAAACTTGCAAAAAAGCCTAGCGATCTGAACAAAATAATGTCATGAGAAACATACATGCCAAATAAATTCAGGTCCCTCAGTCTGGCAATTTCAGAGTAATAATTGGCAGGTAGAAGTGCACGAGGTTATCGCTTCATTGGTCAAGATCTTTCTAGAAAATGTTCACAGAAGCTGAGGATAGACAAGCAGGCTTTCAGTTCGGGCAGCCCAACACACAAGTCATCTCAAATTTGTGCCTTAACAATAACTAAATGTTCAGAGTGTTCTCCACATAGGGTACATCAAGCAACCTCACTTGATTGATCTGTAAGTGAGAATGGTTTGCTTGGTTTTACGCCACTTTCAACAGTATTTGAGTTATATCTCAGCCTTTCGTACTGATGTTTTGTTTGTTTGTTTCTTTGTTGTTTAGCCCATTTCTGGTGTCCCCCGCCGTGATATTGCTGGAATATTGCTAAAAGCGGCGTAAAACCATACCCACTCACTCACTTTGTTGTTTAACGCCGCACTCAGACATATTCCACACATATGACGGCGGTTTGTAAATAATTGTGTCTGGACCAGACAATCCAGTGATTGACATCATGAGCAACGATCCACGCAATTGGTATACGATGACATGCATCAACCAAGTCAGCGAGCCTGACCACCCGATCCCGTTAGTCGCCTCTTTTGACAAGCATAGCCACCTTTTACGGCGAGCATGGGTTGCTGAAGACCTATTCAACCTGGATCTTCACAGGTCTGGCCATGAAGATCTGTGTCGAATCGGTCCTCAGCAACCTGTGCTTGTGTAAGAGGCTACTAATAGGATCGGGTGGTCAGGCTTGCTGACTTGGTTGATGCATGTTGCGAATTGCGAAGATCAATGCTCATGTCAATCACTGGATTGTCTGGTCCAGACTTGATTATTTTCAGACAGCCATCAAAAACCAGAAATATGGCTGTGTGCGGTGTTAAACAACAAACAAGCAACCAACTGATGTAGTGGAACATACGCAAACATGTCCATTTCTGAAGTAGAATAATTCAAGACAGAAAAGTTTCTTAAATACAAAACAATAATTTATTCAAGTCTCCTTTTTTTATCACTCACAGAAAGAAATGTTGAACATTCATGGATGCTATATTGAATCTGATTATCATACAGCTTGCACCAGTGAAGGCAGAGCTTACAAGGTAGATACACAAATGATTCCTTTCAAACTTGGTATGTGCATTGCATCTCAGAATACAGTCCAGTCTCATCTCTTTACAGACAGGATGACATTTACAACTATTAGTTTTATGAAAAAAAAGTCTTCCCAATGACTTGTCGGAGAACAAAATTAGTCAGATTTAAAAGAGAAATAATTAATTTTAATCCCAAGAATGAATATACTGCACAATGAGATCAATACATTGAGTGAAAATTCATACCAAGTTTGAGTGACTGACAGAGGTGTTGATTGTCCATATAAGGTAATGAGGTTGATGTGGTTACCAAGGTAACAGGGATACAGAGCACAATGACCACAAAAAGCTTATATTAACACTACCTGGTAGCAACATACTATATATATATTTATGTATATATATAAAAATTTCAACCTTCAAAAATTTGTACAACATCCTTTATATGAACTGATAACTACTGTCCATAACTCGTTATCCAAATGAAAGCTAACTCAGCTTAAACGGAGCTTTGTGTCCCTGCTATGTAAACGATGCATTGCACTTGTCTGACAGTGATTTCTGAATGTGACAAACTACATCAAGTGAAGGCATCCTTCTGTCATCTGTTTGAAATTTGTAATACTGAAAAATACTTGAACACAACAGCTTCATGTACTCGGGTTATGCTACAGTGTGTGCGGTGAAGGTTGTCACATTTGGAAATCGTCTCAGAAATAACCACCTCAAAAACAGTCTAAGGAATCCACATTGTGTAACAGTGAGTCTATATACATGTTCAGGAAACAATGTCAATATCACAGAGCCCCGAACCATGTATAGAGCTTTTGAATAAATTTATCAAACACTAGACAGTAAACAATTCTCTGGTTTCATGGAGTGCAACAAACTTGAAAAGATGACGTTTACTACAAGACAGCTTTTAGCACTTAAGGACAGGCATGAGTTGAATGCAGATACGGTACAGTTAGGATGATCATATAGAATATGCTGTGGACAATGTGTGTTTTCTGGGGCAGAATGTAGGCTTATTCACTGCACATGGATGTCAAAACCAATGAATTGTTTCTGATATTCTCACGTCAACAGAAAAACAATACAGGCTTGTGTAGTAACAATAATTGCACATTTTCAGTAGAAGTCTGTATTCACTGACAGTAGTTGTATGGAAAATGCTACATCACAATCTCACAGCTTTCACACTGCATGTACAAAACCCAACATGCGACAAGGCAAGGGTAAATGCCTTTCTTTGCTGTATATTTCTGCAATGGACTACACTAGGCACATCATGTGCAGTTATGCTTTGTTTGTGAACTGCCGTATTCAACCCAAAAAGTGTTCCTCCCCTCCTGTCATTGTAATAACAGCAGTCTGATGAAATAATTACAGTTTTGATTGAACTGCACGTGATGTGCCTTCGTAAACAACTTATTAAACTCTTCTGATATTGATGGCCTTTTGATTTTAACCTGGACACTTATTGGGTTGAGTACAGTATACTGAACCTCGGATGCTGTGCACAATATCAACTTGTATATTATTGTAACTCTTCTCCTAATTGGGGAAAACCTTTTCTTCAAAAAGTATATTTCATCTCCATCGCTATGCAAATCTAGATTGGCAGACAAAATCATACAAAATGTACAAATATACAACTTCAATACATAGCGTGTTAGCCATACAATAATACAATATAATTGAGGAGGTATACACTGTACAGGAATAAATTAGGCTCTCTAGCCCGACAAGGGCACAATTTACACTATCTTAAAATCGTTTATCTTATTGTACATCGGGCGATACATACAGGTTATTTAACAATAGGGTTTGAATGTCATGGCTAGATATGAACTAATCGTCATATTTCATTCCCTTTGTCAAATGTAAGAAATCGCTAATTACAAGATTCAAATTCTAGCATTTCTTCATATTGCACAGTAATTAAATATTTTCAATTTTAGCGTTCAATTTTGATTGAACCAAATTCATTTATGAGAATTTGGTGAGTTACTTGATTTCAAACTGCTTTCTTTTCCTTCACAAACTGTATATGAACACTTACTGAATGAACACGATTCAATGTGAGAAATGTTATTACAAACATGAATGATTTTACTTGGTACATAGCATATGTCGTGCATGTAGAAATAAATATTCATACATACCAGATCTAAAATTGGACTTGTTCCCTTAAAACGTACAAAAGTTACAAATTTATCCTAAATTCCACCTTATTCAATTACCATACAGCACATTTCAAGCAAGGTTTCAATTTTTGGAGATAGTATCTCAATAACACCCAATAACAAACATACAATACATCAATATTTCTTTGGTGTGTTTTAGACTTCTTACCAAATTCACAAGTTAAATTATCAAAGACTTAAAGCACTGTTTGGACATCATATTGAACAAGTTCCTCAAACGTCTCACAATTTTCACAGTATGAACATACAAATGGCTTCAATCCACGAAAATGTCAAGCCATCACATACAATCAGTTTCCAATGCTCGCCACTGACGATATTCCTGCATATAATAAGTTACTTGACAATGGTTTCTCCATCCCGCCACTATAGATTACACAGCCAGTATGTGACACAGACAGACAGACAGACACTCAGTCTACATCATACAGTTGTGACGGACAGTAGAGGGTTATAAGTCTTTCCATCCTGAACCCGACTACCGTGGGCAAGCATCTCCTGCACAGTCACAAAGTTGTCAAGGACTTTCTTGCCCTTGTGTTTGTTCATCTTGCGATGACTCAGTTCAACAATATTCGCCTCCTTCTTCTCTTCGGCTTCTTTCAGAGTTTCCATTCTTGCCTTGATCATCAACTCTTTCTTCTTCTTGTAATCCTTTGCCTTTTCCAAGTGGCGTTTCCTCTCTTCCTTCGTCCAGTACCTTCCAGTTTTCATCTCGCTCATGGCGTCATCGTCCGTGGTCATCCCACAGCGCTCTTCTGAGATTTTCTTTGCTCGTTCTTTGAGGATTTTGTTTCGGACAGGTCGTCGGGTGATGTAACGCGTGCCATCAGGCCGACGTTTGACAACCCACTCCATAGCACCACTTTCTGATTGGGTGGCATCTTTACCCTGAACAGACTTGGTGGACTCTCCGTCCACTGACTTACTGACACTGGATGGCTTTGATAGGGAGCGAGTGCGATGTTTCTGGTCCATCTGCTGCTGAAACAGTTTCTGTTGGATTGCAATTGTATGTTCCAGATTGGCTCGATTTGTGTACATGACGTCAGCGTATTGAATGTACAAATCCTGAAGAGATTCTCCCATGTGGATATGGTCTTTGAGTCCACCACTATTCCCATTGGTCTGAGGCTGCACGGGCACAGGCACAATGCCCTTGTAGCCATGACCACTGTCATCACTGGAGTAGTCCCGTGACTTGGTTGGTGTTTGAGTCTGTTTCTCTGTGTCACTGGACGATGGGATCGCAGGACCGGGGGCTAAACACAACATTGAATTCTTGAAGCCTCTATCCCCGTCATCACTAGCCTGGTTGAGTTCTAGTGTCAGGGGGGTACTCCGACAGCTTTCACCAGTGTTGTATGCACTCGTAGTTGACGTGTCTTTCTCCCGCTCGGAGCTCTTCACATTCTGCTGGCCCATCTTCATGGAGGGCGCACTTCTCCGGATGAGGAGCTCGGAGGGATCAAGGGATTGCACATGTTTAAGGTATTCCAGTCTAGTTCCCATTCGGGGCACAATGCGTGGACTTTTTTGTGGCTCAATTTTGAAGATGTCTCTATGATGATCCAGTTTCATCTGATCTTTAATATGCGAGTCCACAATTTCTTGACACTCTAAATTTATCTCCTCCATTTCTCGATTGAGGAGATGCAGCTCTCTCTCGATGCTGCTTCCAGAGTCCTTACGTTTGCCTTCCTTCTTAGGTGATCTTTCACCTTTGACACAACGGTGTTGTAGCACCTGACGGAACTGATCACAAGCCTCTGCAGAAATGTCATTGCTCATAAGCTCGGGCTCATTTGATGTGACACTCTCATTACTGTGATGTAGTCCTTCCCGATTCAGATTACAAACAGGAGGAAACTTCATGTGTGTGGGCGGAGTCAGGCACTCGATGTCAAAAGTCTCCTGAAACGAAATTAAAAAAAAAAAAAAATTATTGCCAGTTCCCCAAAACGTATTACCCAGTACAACTACCTGGATAACTTGCTAGTTCTACAATGACATGTATAACCTGTGTGCATGACTTTAGTTAGATACTTTGCAATAGCCACAATTACATTGGGACACGATGCGCATGTCCTGCAACCTCTGACCTATAATCTCATCAGCTGTTTCGGAAAGTGTTCCTATCTGATTTGACCATCTAAGCACAGCAAATTCCAAAAAATCATTATCCTCAAACACACTTTTTTCCATGCTTATCAGCATCAAGAAATATTTTCACGTGGCCGTTTGCAAGAAAACCTGTTCACACAATGTATTGCCCGCTCTGAATGAATGAAGTGGCTCTGTTGCCAGATTTCACAATGTTAAGTGACTTTAATGTGATCACAGGATACTCGGCTTGTAAACAACACTTACAGAGGCCACATATCTATGGAGATTACCCTGGAAAAATACACCACTTTCTCCGCTAAACATTTATTCCAATAGATGCAGAACAGTTAAGGAACCCATAGCTTCTGGATAAACATAATCTTTGGGAGGTCTTTATCTGCAGAATCCTGTTTCTCTCTTTCCCCATTTAAGAATACAAACAGGATAAAGTTTGCCCAACTTGGAAATTTGCCTTTAGAAACTGGTAATTCTGATACCTTTTCAGTCTTGATGACAAAACAAATATTTGTATCTTCATTTATGAGTCTGAAGTGACATTATTAATGACAAAATGCATAACCAAAATAGGTTAAAAGCCTGGGATTTTATCCAAAAAAAGAAATGGTCCCTGTAATTTCTTGAAAAATAATAATTATGCTTTATCTTGATTGAAAAAAGAAAGAAATAGTCTGCCACAAAAATTACATTGTCACAATGTTTTTTGCGAAAAATTTGTTTGGCTCATAGATTTAATCTTAAAATATATGATTTTCAGCTGTAGCTTAAAAAATATCTTGTCTCAATACAAACTCCTAGTCTTCAAGCCCCCCCCCCCCAATATCAAATGGTCAGTCCCCAATTCTGAAGTCATCTTATTCCTGTTTATTTACATCCTAGTACCACATCACTGTTGAAGAATTAGAAATAGAGTTATTTTCACCTTAATTATATACTGAACAAAAAAGTTGGGGATCAGGATTATGTTTGAGGATTTTCTTTTAGTGAAAATTGAGTTTCATTAAATGTGTATGGTATATATTATAGTTTATGACCCGATTTTTTTGTTTAGTATAGATGGTATTGATGATGTCTTGTAAGATTTGGAAAGCACTTTGAGAGATGTTTTTTTCCAAACTGTTCATATACTGCTGGAAAGGAGATCCCTAAGAAACCAACACTCATTGTTACCCAGAATGCACTTGTTATATGTGGCCTTACTTCAGCACTACGTGACATGATGTATGAGACTGTTTCTATTTTCTGATATATGTAACATGAGACGGGGGGGAATAAGCAGCACATTGTGATAAGGAGAGCTAAAAAATATTCTTTGGCAAATGTCAAGGCACTGCATAAAACAATGCCTCATAAACATAATCTAGTATGGTGTACTAACAGGGTCATAAATCCTTTTTTATCATCAGGAGAAGAATGCCAGTGAAGTGTGTTAGAAAGCAGATTGTGGTCCTACTGGCCCCCCATACCTTAGTCACCTATCACCTTTATTCCCGTGACTACAACCAGATGAGGAACCGATACAGGTATCTTGATATAAAAATCTACAGATAATCCAGGAATAAATTATACCCAATTGCAGATAAATGATTTATTCATTCAGCTCTAATGTCACTTCGTGTTTGTCAACAGCTGTTGATTTGATGTATCAGGAAAAATAGGAGAAAGTTTGTAAAATATTTTTTTCTCGAATTCCCAAACTTTGCACTTCTTTTCAGCAATATTCCATTAAACTCAAAACATGAAAAGATTTGCTGAAACAAGGCGACACCCATTTTCACATGAAAGCTTTGTTACTGCCCCTTAGAAGCACTACAGTTCATTCAGGCCATCAAGTTAGGCCGTAACCACTGCAAGTTGAGACAAGGTCATAAGTTATGGGCTAAAAGGGTTTGTACAAGGGCAAAATGGCTGCCTAATACTACTTTCCTCAAAGCATATCCTAAATCAGGCCATACTCAAAGAGCAAAGTCATTGAGCTAGAAACAAAACTGTCTGGTTTGCAATTAGATCACAATTGATTTGCAGAGTTGATGGTGGTAAATGGCTGCAATGTGTTCTAACAGGCAATAATTGCCTCATGCTGATGGCGCCAGAACAGTTGTCGCAACTACAAGCACCTACAGTAAGGAAGGCTTGTTTTCACAAGGAAATAAACCAACACTGATTGATTTTAAAAATAAATAAAAAGTAAATGTTAGCACTTGGTGACTGTCAATGTACCGAAACATTCCAGACATGATAAAAGCTTTGGTTCCTTAAAATCCTGATTTTGCTGAGTGAAACAGTTTTCTTATTTATTAAAAATATGTGTCATTTTTTAAAAAGAATTGTGATGAAACTACATTGTTGTTTAACGCCGCACTCAGCAATATTCCAGCTATATGACGGTCTGTAAATAATCGAGTCTGGACCAGACAACCCAGTGATTGACATCCTGAGCATTGTTGTATGCATTTGGGATCAGTGACATGCATCAACCAAGTCAGCGCGCCTGACCACCCGATCCTGTAAGTCGCCTCTTACGACAAACATGGGTTGCTGAAGACCTATTCCACCTATTCCGGATGTTCACGGGTCAACTACATTTGCGCTCACCTGTTCAGAACTTTCATCATTTTTTGTACTTTCATCAGTTCGCCCAACACCACTGTCTTTCTCATGTTTGTTGGAGTTCTCAGTAGTGGCAGTGTCAGTAGTCCCCCCTTCTTCATCTAAGTTGCGCTGTAATAAAAATAATTTGAATAAGTACCCATTGAACTCCCAAGACGAAAAAAGACCATTTGAAAATAAATGATAAAGTTGTGTAATACCCTTTACATCTCAAAACAATCACTTTGAAATTTCAAACAAACCAAATTGGATTGCGTGTCAGATGTTCCTGCAATAAAAAGGCTATCACAGGCCATGTTATTGCAAATGATATCTGAAACAAGTGCTCAAACTCTACATAAATAAATGTCAAATTCCCAATGAGAGCAGACCCACGGCATGGCACAAACATCTACAATATTTATACATTGTATATTGGATTAGATTCATATTTCAAACAATTCACACCACAATAGCCCTCAGATCACCCCGAATATCTGTATTCCCCAAACACCAGGACGAACTGATGGGAGACCATCCCTGCCAATAATGAGGAATTCTAGCACCAAACAAGTCCCTGGATACTAATGGCGTGAACACCTGTTTTTATGTCCATTGAAAACATGGTGAAGATAAACTTCAAAGCTCTTGGTATCAACACAAGGGAGAATCCAACAGGCATCCATGTAATGCTGCAGCCAGGCGTTTGTACAATGGCTAATGAGCTTACGTTATCGGTTGTCGGTCATTTTGCTCTGGTGTCTTCTGCCTTGTCTTGCAGCCACATCAAACGAAATCCTGTCTCATAAATCGCATAATCCCACTTTCCTTCAGCTTAAAGAGGCAGACTACATCTTATCCATAATTTCCACACAGGAAAGGACATTTGCTGTCTGTGTTACAAGGTCTTGAAATGATCTGACATGGATTTCTAACCCTCATCCACTTGCTTAATGATCTGGAAAATATTCCATGTGGTCTTTTCTAAACACTAACAAGAACCATTAAAAAGATAGTTCACTCATACAAAACCGTGATTCTGTCGTCCCTCTGTGCCACGATCACACGCTGATATAAGCATACAGCGTCAAGGGGGACGTCAAAGTAAATATTTTGGTAGTCTCCTAACGTGACCCAGTTTGGATTGTCCCCTAGTTTTACAATGACATGAAAGATATTTTATTGACCTATATTCCTTTCATTCTTTCTCCGATTTCAAGAAAATGGTCAACTTTGGCATGTTTGCACAACAAGAACTGATGCTAATTACACCAAGTATCAGGCGAGCTCAAAGATGACAACGTCTTTGTGCAGTGTTGACAGTTGCTGGGTCCCCCTCTCTCAACCTACATACATCATATTAAATGAATACATCTTTTTTCCCCTCACTAGATCCCCTATTACAGGCTTGGATGGCCAGGAATAAAGATATTCATGACAAATAAGCTCCCCTTTGGAGCTCTTCAATTGCTGGAGGCCTGGTTTCGTCGTCACTGGAACAGGACACACGTATAGAAAGATCAAAGCCGTGAGAAGACTTCTCTCTCTATGGTTTGAGCAACACACAAAAGGCTGTGTAGTTTTCAGTATAAGTTGCCAACTGAAGTCCTAATTGACACGAATCCATCGAAGTGATTGATTCTAGCTGAGCCCAGACAAGTGTATGGGCTGGACACTACAGTGTTAAACAGGTATCTCGGTACTGATGGAGTGAACACATTTGTCATGCTGGGGAACTGTCAGCACTTTATTTACAGAAAGCTTCCATTCGAATAATTACAATGCGAGTAGATAGTCAGGGAAATGTTATTAGTAGAATAAAAGGTATGAGGCCATGGTTTAATAAACTCAGCCGACCTGTAGTGTCTGTTACAGACCCAAGACCATATATACTACTCAAAAGAAGTTAAGGAACATGCCATGACAGGTTTTCCTCCCAACAATGAGCTGACATGCTGTGATATAACTGGAATATTGTTCAGAGGGTGTAAAACCCAACTCCCACTCATGCCATGACAGATTAACTATACTTATGAAAAAATCCAGTGATCTGTAACTTCTTTTGAGTAGTATATTTAAGAAACAATCAACTCCATTTCATTCTCATCCAATTTACAGCTCTAGGACCTGACATTAAGACAATGGAGGGGTTCTTTTATGGAATTATGTCAATAAATCAAATCTGAACTCCCAATTTCTTTAGAAGAAAATTGAAATACGAGTCATCTAATAGGGATTCTTCCCAATCTGTACAGTTAGTTTGAAACACGTTTGAGTTGATGTGTCTCGCTGTACGTCACTCGTACCTTGCATAAAGAACATATGGTTGATGGTTTGTTGTTTAACGCCGCACTCAGCAATATTCCAGCTATATGACGGCGGGCTGTAAATAATCAAGTCGGGACCAAACAATTCAGGGAATGACATAATGAGCATCGATCCATGCAGTTGGGATCGATGAGATGCATCAACCAAGTCAGCGAGCCTGACCACCCGATCCCGTTAGTCGCCTTTTACGACAAGAATAGTCGCCTTTTACGGCAAGCATGGGTTGCTGAAGACCTATTCTACCCCGGATCTTCACGGGTCTAAAGAACATATGCAAATCATTCAAACACTTCATTCCCAGAGATGAACTTGTGGTGAAGGATGAAGCCAGCACTGCACATCACATCAGGACATGACAGGCTACCTGCAGAAAAACATGCCGAGGAATTCAAGGCAAAAACCCTTCCCCTGTGAGGCAGGGCAGGTTAAGTTCCTGTCAACACGGAGAGGTGGGGCTGCAGGGGAACCCCCAGTATCTTGACATCATCTCTGATGCTTCTCCGGATAAGCCGACTCATCAAGCAGCCTTTGATTGTGCGGCATCCTCTTCTTCCCTCCTCAGTCAGGGTAAAGTACAACATTCTCAGTGGTCCTGAAACATGCCAGCTCCAGTCAACAGGATGACCTTGGCAAAGTCTCCTGACGAGATATTGATGTTCAATACAGGTGAAATGTTTTCTGGATATTCAGAACTCTCCAGGTTTTGAAATGAAGACTGAGAGAGTCTATATTCATTCAGCGTAATCACAACGGCTTACATCCTGGGGATAAGTGTAAAATTATAATTCCCTTTACTGTAAATATCATTAATTAACTATTATCTTTTCATTCTTGTGCTTCTGTGTTCCAGACCCTTGTGGTGGCCTAGTGATATAAGTGTTTGCTTGTCAAACATTAGACCTGGGTTTGATACCCATATGAGGATAATGAGTGAAACCCATTCTCATAGTCAGTGACTCTGATGTCGAGGGAAGGTTACGATAATACACCACTCCCTTAATTAGGGAGAGAATTCAGCTCAGTCATCCTATTGACATGGTCGTTCCATTCCGGCATTATATGACTCATTTCAACTTATTGGGGAACAATTATCCACAAATGTTGCCATACAACACCTGTACTATCCATTTACCATCCTGACTAAATCGATCACGGCAACTCCCACAGAGCAACCTTCACATAGCCTCAAGCACTGTTTCCTGACCCCCAGATCTGCTGATACAGCAACAATCTGGGATCTGTCCCGATTCATTCTCAAACAACACCATTATTTCATAATCCCATTTATCAAAATAATCCCAGCTTTAACCTACACCAAGTGACAACCTCCTTGCCAGTTGTTACCTCAAGGTCGGCTAATTATCCGTTTTTGTCCAATTTCCCCAGGATTCTCCCGAGATGTGACTGCAGTACTAAGCAGCGAGGGGGCCCTAACAAGACTTGACAAAAACACCCTGTGTTGTTGTGTAGCAGTGATTGTGTGGAGGCAGGCAGTTGTGAAAATAATTACCTGTCGGAGGTAATACTCCACAGTCGGTTGTCTCCTTCACTACAACTCACACTGTTCCTTCATTCCAGCATATGGGCAGGGACGACTCCACACTCAGCTGGAGTAGTCAATGTTGGCCGTAAACATATGGAGAGCCAGCCTCAAAGACTGACATTTCATCCCAGAAATAGAGCTATCTTATATATATATATATCCCCAAAATAAATAAAATAAAACAATCCCCAGAACAATCCTTTATTTCAAGCAATCTAGATTTGCCAAATTATTTTAGACTTGAGTTGGATTCCTTTTTTATCACTTAGGCCTGGGAGACGAACTAGCTTCATAATTCACAGAAATTGTTAAAGTTTGACTAGTTGGAAATGACTAAAGTTTGGCTGTTTTAGTGAGTGAGTGAGTGAGTGAATGATTATGGTTTTAAGCCGCTTTTAGCAATATTCCAGCAATATCAAGGCGGGGGACACCAGAAATGGGCTTCACACATTGTACCCATGTCGGGAATGGAATCCAGGTCTTCTGCGTGACGAGCGAATGCTTTAACCACTAGGCTACCGACCGGCCCTGGCTGTTTTAGAGATGTCTAGTTGTGGCCATTTCTTTTGAAATTAGGATGCTGACTGATTTAACTTGTATTGCAGAATTCACGGAGTCTCTCCTATTGTTGCATCGGTAGTAAATATATTCTTGCGTTATATGTCTAAGAGTGGGACACCAGCCTATATTGTCTAAGCTACAAAAAAGTGACTCAGAGTACTCAATAAAAAGTACAAATGTATTGATACGACTTTAGGAGGTGAGAATGTAGTATGTTTTCTTCCTTTTTGTCATAACATTTTGTGATCATGTGCTTAAGATATTTTTTTTGGCATCAAATAACTGCATGCAGGAGCCAGCATTCATGGCAACAGACGAGACACAAATATATTCCCTACTATAAATTATTTCAACTGGACCATAAAACGAATCATAAAATCATAACCATATTTTCACAATTGACATAAATCTAACTTGTAAATTCTGCCAAGCCAAGTGTTATTCCTACGCTGGCTAGTAGATTACACACCAAGTATATATAGGAGACAGTTCCAGGACCAGATTAGTATCTGCGAGACAGCCTGATCCCCAGCTAATAGCACAATAATGGGAACAGTCCACAAAACTAGTATTTAATACTCCCCTTCCCTACAATGGCGATGTGTTCATCAATCCATATCAACCAGAAAACTGGGAAAACACATTTCAGACTTGAAAGTGGCTGAATCAAATTTGATAGAATTTGTTTGGTTCTGTTGACAGCATAATAGCAGTGTTCATCACAATTAGGGCCTAATGCAGTCCAAGGGGAGGCCCAAACTACGTTTGGAGCCATGGCATGGTAGCAAGCTGGTATTATCCTGCACTTCTGACAGTGACAAGGATCCTGCGTGACATCTTGGTTGAGTCAGGTGGTTTATGGGTCCGGCTGCCTCTGCTAAAATACATCTGTTTCATCCACATCATTGCTGCCATCACTAGCCATTACAAAGTCTCCATCTTAAAGATGATATGCTGCCTCTTGTTGCAACTGCGAGGAAATTTATATCCTTTAGTGTCTGGAAGATAGCATATTTTCTGACTGCGGCAGACAGTTCTCCTGATCGTATGACCTTCAGGTGGTTCCGATACTGTTTGCCTGATAACTATTTGACATATGTTGGGAACTATGTCTAAAAGGTTATGAATTTGCACCACCTATTTGTACAGAAGATATGACAATCAAAATAAATTTATTTCCATGTCATTTTTTTTTCCAGCTTGGTTCTGCTTCACAGATGAAGTTAAGATTTCGTGGGTTTACTTCACATCTCTGTTCATACAAACAGCTTCAGAGAGCTCCAGACAACTCGCATCATGGTAAAAGAAGGAATTCTAGAAGAGGATACTGCCCGAAGGAAAGTGGGCATATTTCAGGCCTATTTCTTTCAGCAGAGACAAACATCAGCACTACTTGCCACTTGCAATTTGAGATCAGGTTCCCAATGCTTACAACCATTGTCTGCAGCACATCACCTCCACTACTTCACAACACAATTCTGACAATACCAGGAACTATATCTTGCCAACTTCAAGACTGATTCTACAACTTTCCGCCTCCTACAACACGCCATGTAATAGTTCCATCACAGCTGCTGATGTCACAGTATCACCGTACATCGGGCCCTCTCTTGTCAGATTCTTTAAATAGGCAAGGAAGTGAGGTTGGAAATATCCTGGAGACAAGCCCTTTAGCTGGAGATATCAACTAAACAGCTTTCCATGTGCCAGCTGGGTACAATTTGTCATTGCCTGAGAATTAAAGCTGTAATGATTGTTGTTGCTGCAACTTATCATTTTCTCAGAGTAATACTCAAATATAATTTGCATGTTTAGAAGTTAGAAGGCTAGAAGAGTTAAAGAAACCGAATGGGTTTCTTTCATGACTCCATGCAGAAGGTGTTGGAGATGCATACCAAGGCAATTGCTGAAATAAATTGCTTGAAATTTCAAGCCCTTTCAGTGAGTACAGTTTTACGGCACTTTTATCAATATTCAAGCAATATCACAGCAGAAATGGGCTTTACACATTGTACCCATGTGGAGAACTGAACCCGTGCCTTTGGTGTAATGAATGAACGCCTTAACCACTAGACTATCCCACTGCCCCTCAAGCCCTTTCAGATGGACTGCCTTTGTGGTCTAGCAGATAGAGCGTCTGCCCGGAGAGCAGTGGTTTGATCTGTGGCGGCATCATACGAAAAAAACGTTAAAAGATGGTACTTCTTGTTACCCTGCCTGGTGCTTGGCATTCAGGGAACAAAATATGGACATGTTCGCTCGGAGGGGGTATCCTTGTTAAACTGTCGCATGGTATTTCAGTGGGCTGGAACTATTAAACTGACACTATGTAAGTGCAATAATCTTGATCTGAATGTTAAACTCCATTTCACCTCACAAACATTCAAATGTATCAAATTGCACAAAATATCAATCGAACAGTAGTAATACGGTATGTGCAAGAGTTACCTACCCTTGCCAGCATATGGGCCATGTAAGCCATGTTGTCATGGTGATGCTTTTCCAGTAAATCCATGTGAAGATCATCCAACACCATATTGTGTTCATCCATGAATCCATCATCACACTAAAAAAGAAACAAAACATTTAGAAATATTTTACATCATAATGATAGAAAACTGTATAATGACAGTCAAAAGTGAACGTTTCCTTAAAGCTGTGTACATAAACTTAATCTGTTCTATTAAAATGAAAGTAGATACGACACATAAAAATAAACATTCAAGATGTTAAGAAGACGCTATGCATTTATACAAACAATATTTTCCCAGCTAGATATCAATTGGATGTATGACATGCTTGATTTATGATGGCTGATTAGGTCAAACAAAATCAACAGTCAAGCCATCTGTAAATGAGGAAAGCAGGAATCTTATCAGCCGAGGTGTCTAAAACAGATATTCATCAGGGAGACTAAATTTGGAATCGTGAAATGCTCATCCTCAATCACGGCCCACAGAGGGTTCAGTCAGGACAGTGATATTACTTGTACTTCGCTACCTCCACATACAGAGCTATCAGACATTCGGCGTGGAATCATAACAACTTGTATCCAGTGGTAATTAAACTGAGCCAAATAAATCACTCTTCTTATCCAACATCTATAACCGTGTGGCTAATGCTTTTGATATCAGACTCCTCCGTGCTACTTGAAGAAGATGAGAAACACAGATTTAAAAAAAAATGAAACTAAATATCTTTCATCTTAAATATATAAAAGTTTTATTTTGCAATAATTTAATTTCAGATCTAATATTTACAAACAGCACATCAAGGTTAGCAAAATAAGTTGTGAGACTGGCAGCAGGGATGTATGTGAGTGAGTGAGTGAGTTGGGTTTAACGCCACTTTTAACATTATTCCAGTTAAATCGAGGCATGTCGAGAGGAAAGCCCGAAGTGATGCAGGTCTCAGACGTTTACCACATGCACAGGTATGGTGCTGACAAACCTAGAAACATAATCAGGGTGAAGCAGGATTCGAACCCACAATCATAGGTTTCTGGCATGCCCAAGGGACGCAACTCTGCACGGCGAATAGCAGCACCTTAGACGACTTGGCCACCCGTGCCCCCTGATGTATAAGAAGTAGTTGTAGGTATAGCATTCCTGTCAGCATGAAGACTTGTGTTAAACTACTGAGACGTTTTTTTATGTTGGAGCAGGAGGATATTTACCCACCGAGTTGCATCTAGATTTCCCTACAGAAGTGAAAATGGTTCAAAGATACAAGTGAGTGAATCATAGTGTGCAGTACAAGTAAACCTTAACCACTGATGATGTTTTTAACAACTGTTTCTCAGATCAATGAGCTCCGTACTTGGCACGTAAACAACCTTTGTGGTAATTAAAACCACAGCTTACACTGGAAATAAACTACAAGTTTACTGGATACAGGTATTATGGACAAGTTGTTGGTGGTAAGCGCTGTACCAGGGCAGCTTAATGTGGAGTATAGCCTGGAGTCTTTAACAATGAGCCAGTGAGACTTACCAATTTTGTTTTACTACACCTTGAGGATTATGTGTTGTCTATTAATGAATACATGAAACGAACCAAAGAACTTCCGAAAAACTTGGTCTCAAGATCTTGATTCAAGTTGGTGCAGAGTGGAAACCTTGTGGGTTAAAGAGTGCGTTCGTCATGCAAAGGCCCAAGTTTGATTCTGCACATTGGTACAATGTGTGAAGCCCAATTCTGGTGCTGTGTTCTGACCATAATATTGTTAGACTATTGGTAAAAGCAGTGTAAAACCATAGGCAGAGAATCAGTTAATTCATTCTCATATCAGCAGTTTTTAAAGATTGCATATTTTCCTAAAACAAAATATGTCAAATTTGAAATTGGTAACCTTATGCTATATTTCTTGAGACATTTTGTGGTTTGTGGTTTGTGGTTTATTTCAGTATTTTAACGCACATATCCACATGTTCCATTTTGTTCAGTTATTAAGGCTTCTGTTAAAACGGAGCCTCCTTAAGAAGTGTCTATCCCCACCAAGCACAAATTTGCCATCAAAGCTCAGCTGTCATTTTGTCTGAAGATAAAATCAAATCCACATCGGTTTAAACTCATGTCGCGCTCAATTGCAACTTTTATTTACATCAAAACATGTGACAAGAACATTAATTTTCTTGAAACATATGCAATGCATAAGAGTTATGGTATAAATATTAGTAGTTGTAATGCAAACATCATGAGATAATTAAACACTTCATTAGCTGTGAAACACCTTATGTGAATAGCATTTGCACATTATGATACCATCAAGTCCATTGGTCGTTTAAAGCTTCATTTAACATGTTTATACATAGGGACCATAACCAGAGTTACCCCCCTTCCTTGGCATCTTCAGAATAGGAGGTGAACTTTGGAGGATCTGTAAATGCATGCAGTCATCTGAAAATACTTTTTACCCAGTTTTGGATTTGTTCCTGAAATCTTCTTATACACACATTTCATGGTCTCGGCAAGAATTATGCTTACTTAATGAGAGTCAATCAACATTAAACGTGGCTGAAATTGGGGCTGTAAATATAGCACAATCGAAACCCAACCAAATCTAGATTAGGCTGTCAAATGCAGTTGATTGTTTTTTGTAAGCAGCAGTTATAAAGGTAATTTATTAGCACTGGCCATCCTTTACCCATTTGTACTTTCCAAAGACGCTGGTAATAGGGCTGGTCCTGAAGATCCACAACTACTTATATTTACAATGAAAACAGAAGAAGGCCTCTGCTGATCATCCCAGCAGCTGGAGAGGGAAGATTAGTAGTTTTAAACCTGCGTTATGGGATAGATGCTGACAAAAAAATAATATTTTCCCAAGATTACCCGGATGGAAATACATAGATGATGAAATTGGGGGAAAGGTTTCCGCGTGTGGCCAATAGGTCACCAGGCTAAATATAGAATTGAGCGATACCCCATTAAATGTTCTGTCAATAAAGCAATCCACAACAGTTTGAAGTCTTGCAGAAACCAATGTAAAAAGAATGATATCTTGACAGCTTGCCAATCCCATTCTTTGTTGGTCTTTAAATTTCATATTAATCCCTCAGTTATATATTAGATCTTTTATGAAAACTGAACCCTTTCTTAATTAGAACCTTCCCCTTTTAAGCATATTCACATTGCCACAAGATCAAAGGCGTCAAATATGCTATTTGATATTTTTGTGTAATTCTAAACAATATAAAAGTGTAGCACGTCTACAGATGCGAGCGTACAATTTCCCTTTATGCCAGAATAACAGCCATTCCCTCTAGTAGGTATCAAGAGTTCTTGACTAATCATTTCCAAACTTCAAAGAGTTGCCAGGAATCAAAAACATAAGTCTGGTGCCAATTCCTACAATCGACAATAAATAAGCCGAAACAAACATGTTAAGTGGCGGTGAGTCTCCATACGATAGGAAGCAGGAAAGAAATTCTTCTGGCTCAAACTTGGCAGGCAAGTCCTGGAAGAAGGCTTGGATACAAAAGCAGTTACTCAACATCAAAGACTAGATTATACGCATCTGTTACACTGGAGTCCAGTACCACAACACGTCCACTCTCTGTATCATGTTCCTAGCCAACAAGCACCTGTTATGTCCCGGAGCTTGGATATAGGAAATAGCTCAGCTTAACAATGGTATAACGATGCTGGTGCCACCAAAAGCTCTTGTTTACATCAATGATACCAAAAGTAAACAAACTGATACATTGTACCGTATTGGAAAGACAGGTGGTTCAAAGATACAGTCTAGCAAATCTCTGTTTGTGAAAGAGTTCCATTTCATCAATATTTTGATTTGAGGGTACCTGGTTTGGCAGAGATAAAAGAATAATCTCAGATTTCTTTTAGAAGTCAAGAGATCACTTTCTAAGTTGAATTTCTGAGCAAAGACAAATGTGTTTTTTAAGAGCAAAAACCCTTTTGAGAATAGATCTCTGGACCGAAATCCCTTTGGTTCACAGACAAATCATTTCCGCTTTTACAGTTTTAATCTTTTCTAAGACATAATTTCTCTTGCCAGACTGTGTGTTAGGAACGGGAACCTACTGATATACGCCATCAATCTCCCTCGTCTCTTGAGGTCTTTGTGTTCATTAAACTTAGTAACTGCTTGATGGGAAAACCGAGAAACAGACTTTCTCATTAGGAGTAACCAAGACATACTAATAAGATGTATTCCTATGGGTCTCTTTAAAACATCTATTATCCTGTCCGGTCCTGGCATAAATCTGTTCATTTAGTGTCTAACTTGTTCATTAACCCTTGGCCTTCCAGAAACCTTTGGGTCTTCTTCCGACTAGCTAAGTTCACTTTAAAATCCATTCAAGCAGGCAACAACCAATTACCCCTAATTTCTGCTGCACTCTTTCGCAGCAGACGTCCAAAAGTGTATGAAAGCAGACGTGAAAACGTGGCTGAGCAGACGCAAAAGGATGGCAGACGTAACATAGGTGTCAGGGTTGAAGTCTCACCAGTTGCAGGTTCTGATGACCTCGGGTTGAAGATGTCGCCTCACTATCATGATAGCTGTAAGAACTGCAGTGCTTTGATACAGCATATTAAAGAATTAAGCGTAATAATGCCATGGCGGCGTACATGATGGCTACCAGGCATGGCGAAGTGTGGTATCTCTTCAACCAGACTCTTGAGGCATTCTCTCTTGGTATGGAACTCCCGTGATGCTTTAAATAAGCCTTATTGAAAAATTAACTATGTATTGCCTGAAGCCACCCTCCAGTTAGACCCACTGCCGATGTAATAGACCTGATATTTGTTACGCTATAAGTAGTTATGTCATGGAGAAAATGAGCTTATTGCTTTTTGTGAACCAGGCAAGAATGAGGCACCATGCTCCCTGGGAGTGTTATGACTTCAAGCAACAATTATTTCATTTTTTACGCAAGATGGTCAAGTCAAAAGTTCGTTGAAGATTAACAAGATAAGCAATTTCCCTGGAGAGGGATCTTATCTGTGATATTTTTAGCTGGGATTGTCATGACCTGCAGTAAAATTACCACCAGTCAGGCTACTGAGAATACTCTGTCACTATCCAATAATTTGCACTAAAAAAAATATAGAGTAATTACTGAAAATGTATTGACTTCCAAATCCGATGAGGATACTAGTCAGACCTTAATCACAAAAACAAAATCACTGATTCATAAAGAAAACCAGATTTAGATGTAAGAAAAATGATGTTTGCATCCATAGGATGGGTACCAGTAAGAAAAGGTTGGTTGATGATATATCTTTTTATAGCAGGGTAGATGTTTAGACGGGTAGACATAATGGTTAAATATTTGTTGTTCAGAATTGGGTGGAACTTAATGAAATACACTTTTCAATGTTCAAGTCCTGGTAAAACTTTAATTCCTGTTACTTGGTCATGATTACTCCTATCAGTTGTTATAGTAAATCATCCATAAAATCAGAGTACCTTTTTAAACATAAAACTTTTGTTTAACTGTTGACAGTTGTAAGGCAATACTTCTTATCACACAGCTTCAATCAGTGCTGTTTTCAAAAACACTTTGTCTTAGTTTTCTGCCCAGATAAGAAATATGTTTATGTGATGTTATTCTGAATAAATCTCGACTATTGGGCTACACTCTGGAAATGTAAGATAAGGAGTAAACATTAAATATCCTTGTTATCACTGAACAGATAGCAGACAAATATCTTGTATTCTTAATGTGAGATTGTTCCAGGCTCTATTCAGGTAGGAAATCTTTTGAAGTTTGCAAAGTCATTAAGTGAATACAACTTTTTTCCATGTTGCTCCAAAGAGTAAGATATGTGCACGCTATAAAAACAAAATTGGAAAGAACGCTGCACCTTGCCTTGGCCCATCCCTTCAGAGAGGCAATTCCAAAGCCATGCTGGTTATGGACTAATGACAAGATGCTTTGAGATGATCATGCCAGGATCTGCTAATCAACTTGAAAACCAGATTCACCAAGATTATGACCCTTGGTTTATAGACACCCATGTCATTTTGGGTTTTCATCCCACGTTAAGTGACATGCTGTGATCTAGATGAATACTGTTCAAAGTGGCATTTAACCCATATCACTCTGTGATTATAATGGCATTGTATTGACAATGAAGTTATATCACAACCCAGTCCTTTTCACTTTGAACCTGAAGGATACAGAGAATTAATTGGCTTCACCTTTAATGTCTATTTTCATCAATATCATCTTTGCCAATCATCTTGTTAAATGCAAAACGTTCTTCTGAATTCGGAAACATGAGTCGATGTTTTCGTGCTTACACAACAATTTTTCCATCAATCTCAACATATTGTTTGAGGAGTTTTCTGACAGCAAGGCATTGTTGTTGGATGTCATTAGCCAGGTTATGGTGCAATGTGAATGTTATCAAGAAATCCGAGGCTGATAGAAACAGCAATCAGATCTGCATCATTTCACACAATACACACCTGTCTACCATTAAAACAAGAAATCTAACCCTTCCAAAAATGTCACAAATGGCATAAAAAAGTATATCAGCCCACAATCAAACACAACACGAATCTGACCAAATGGCTTCAACCTGCTGCTTGATCTAGAAGCAACAAACAGATCTCCCTCCCTGCTGCTGGATGGCCTGACTCCTGGGGTTTACACACAATGTGGACATGTTTTTTTCTGGGCTATCAGGCACTGAGCACATATGCTAGAGATCTACAATACCTATCCTGGGTCGGAGAGAATGTTTATGTGGAGAACTAGCCTCAGGTCACTGATAAGGGAGGGGCATTAACCCTCAAAATCTAGTTTCATAATTTCTAACAGCAGGATTTTATCAAAGGAATTTCATATTCAATTACTTCAATGAAAACCATTTTGTTGGCTCTTTCAAACAAGATGCCACACTTAGGAGCTTTTTAGGTATTAAAGATTTTTTTGTCATTTCAAGTTTAGCATATCAGTGGTTAATGCCGTGTCTGTTGCAACTACTTAGATCCTGCTTCATCGGACAGAACTGTTAGACCTACATAGACAAGAGGACAACCCTATTATTCTAACCAGATATAAAAAGTTTTTGATGGTATACATCTGAATTTCTCTGCATGACATAAGGTACAGGGAGTCTCAGTTTCCTATTCTCCCCACTATGGATGGTTTGAATTCTAGATCCCTTGCTTTTCACCCAGCAGGAAGACAAGGGACTGGAGGAAGTCAAGTATCACATCAAAGGCTTTATGTTGTTTATCATCAATGTTTTTCAGGAAGTCTTCTTTCAGCCAAGTTCAATAACAAGAACAACGATGGATTATTTTTAGGTTTGGACTTTCAAGATTCAAGAGTAAAAACCTGGATTACATTACTTTGTACAAACAGATTGTTAACTCATGACAAATTTCTGTTTTGAAATATTCCATACAACTAACAAATCATTTTTTCGGATTTGAAGTTTGTGGTTTAAATTTCCTATCTCCAACTGTGAACGTGAAGGCTGTTATGATCTGATGTCAATGATAATGGCGTTTTGAAAGCATGCTCTAATAAAGTATTTTGATTTATAGAAAGTATTTTTTCTCTGCCAAAAGACTCCACTAAGTGTAAATGATCGTAACTGGGATCTCCTGAAATATCATACATTGCTCATCTGGCATATAAAACATGAATTATCAATTTAAGAAAGATTGAAAAAATTCATGAAATCTAATTATTTCTTAGAATCAAGAGCTGAAAACCCCAAAGGGATTCTAATCTTATTAAGATATCATTTACAGAAAATACCACAACTCAATGATGTTTAAAATGTCCCAGGAAGGGAGGAATCAGGTGGTGGTGAGGTGAAATGGGGTTTAACGTCGCGTCCAAGATTATTGCACTTATATAGCGACGTCCATGCACGTGTACGTGTGTGTGTGTGGCTGCTTGTACTAGTCCGGACTGATGCTGATTTATAGTGCTAGCACACTGAGATACCATGTCACAGTTTAACATGAATACCCCACTCAGACACAGTATACTGACTCCGAGTCGACCAGTCCTTGTTTTAGCCCCTTAATACCGAGCGCCAGACAGGGTAACAACAAGTACCATCTTTTAACGTCTTTTGGTATGACGCGGCCTCGGATCGAACCCCGGACCTTCCGCTCTCTGGGCGGACGCTCTACCATTAGACCACGGAGGCGGTCCGGAGGAATCAGGAGACAAAATGGATGACTTGGTTTATTTGAACAAAACCTTCACAGCACTGGATGCCTATTCTACGACTGCCATGAGCAAGTACATCACATCACCGGAAACGACCAAGACTGCAAATAACATAATCCGAGATGTGCATTTGTGTCCATAAATTCAAGGCAAGGAGGGGAGAGGTGTTAGCCTCGTGGCTAAGCATTGGCTCATCACGCTGAAGGAATTGGGTTTGATTCCCACATGGGTAAAATGTGTGAAAACATTTCTGCTGTCTCTCCATCACATCGCTGGAATCCAAAAAGGAAAACCAGTAAAAACACTACTCATTAAAGGTGGGATGTGGTGTATGATCTTTCAGCAGTTTCAGCAACATCAAACATGGGTTAGACCTAATGAACTTCACATATTGTTCCATTGTTGGGAAACAAACCTTGAACAATGAACCAACACCTTATCTGGTGGGCCACTGTGAATGACAAGGGTTGAGAGTGTAGAGTGAGTGTTGAGAGCGTGGAGTGAGTGTTGAGACCTACCTGTAACTGAGGCCGAGCAACGAGCAGGGTAATGTCAGCTCCTTGGTCAGAGAAAAGTTTAATGGCTTGGTCACGATTGTGAACATCAACTCCATTGATCTGGAATAGAAAAATGATAATCTCAACCCACGGTAAGAAAAAACGAGCATGCCGAACAGGAGGCTGTACAATGTAGCGAGCAATACTACAGTTTTGTTTGTTGCTTAAATGCTGCACTCAGCAATATTCCACCTATATGATGGCTGTCAGTAAATAATGAACTCTGGACCAGTCAATCCAGTGATTGACATCATGAGCATCGATATACACAATTGGGATTTGATGACAAGCATCGCCAAGACAACGAGTCTAACCACTTGATTTTGGTAGTCACGTTTTACAACAAGCATGGGTTGCTGAAGACCAGTTCTAACCCAGATCATCACTGGTAATTGGAACGGTAAACCACTGACCAATCAGGACCCTTTCAACCAAATAATGACAATGATACGAATGTCGTAACTCCCATACAGACTTATGACAGTCTTGGCACTGACATCACTTTGTTGAAGGAGTCCCTGGCTGGTAAGACAACGCTTGACCTACAGTCGTGGCTGTGGTGTCCTTCCTAGGTCACCAATACAAGCCCTAGCCATACTGAGCCGCCATTTTGACCATCTAATCCCCAGCGGCCTTCGAGGCATAACCTGCATCCTTTCTTCCCCTTCCTGCATGAAACATCTTTCATCACCATGTATACACACCGAGTGCATGATAATGTCTGTCTGTGTTACTACAATTAGGACTAAACTGGTTACAACACATCGCCCACATTCAGCGTTACCACACTATGTACAACCTTGTAAACCTCTAAATGTTTACTCTTACGTTTTGTGATGGAAAAGATACAAGCAATCTCCTTCAAGGCTCATTTAGACACAGACATGTCTAACTGATGAGCTTTAAGAATGACAGATCCAAGATATTCATCTCATTACCATGTCACTTCCTGTAAACACGGCTCACTTTTACAATTTTCCTTTCTGCATCTACCAGTTGTTAACAGCTAAACCATCACAGGTGCCATGTATAATAATGACGACCATCACACAACAGGGCTTTTTTCCTGATACCATTTTTGTATTTTCCCTTTGAAGTGTCACGGGCGATATTGACACCAATACATCAGTAAATAGGTAAAAACTTCCTCTGACAGGGTTTTGGTGGCAGCCTTGCTTTGAATGTTACTTTAGCTTCATTATTTATGAGGGAAAAGCACAAAGGGTCAAACCTGCCGAGGTAATATTTATGGTTTTCTTGTAAGTAGAGGCGTAAAGGTGATCGTTTGTTAGATGAACACAGAAACAGTTGCACAGAATCAATAATGAGTTCACACCTCAGTGTCCTTTAGAATTTTCATCATTTCTTCGATGGGCTGAATTCTGCAGCCGTACTCAAACAGCATGTTCATCAACCACAGAAGATTCAATCTATCAATTTGGACAACGTTTAAATAGAAAACACACTCAAATATGAGGATTGGTCAATTACGTACATTTCCTGTAAAAAATGCCAATGAATGGGGTTTTGTGCTTCAGCAAAATCTTATCTGACAAATACGTCCCTCAGTTTAATCCTTGTCATAAGAAATGGATACAATAGCGATGAGGTTGGCACAATGGCTGCTAACATGGATGGTTTTTGGTTGCAAGACAATCAAAGAACACACTGTCTCATGAAAACAATCTGACTGAGCAGACATCTTATTCAAATCCCAGTCATGAATCTGAGCATGCAGGATCAATCCAATGGAGCCTCAGGAACATGGGAACTTTGGGACTATTTCCTACCTGCAAGATTTGGTCCCCCTCTCGTATTCGGCCATCTTTGGCAGCTATGCTGTTGGGATCGATCTGAAACAAAACAAGATACATCAAGATTTGGCAAAAAAAACCTATCACATTATATTGCATTGAGAAACGGACAACTTCCCCTCACATCTGAACGTAAATGTAAGGCTTTTATAGAAGTCTCATTACAGCAATATCCTGTTTCTTGTAAACAGTAGCTCCGACAAAAGTACGACAAAAACACAACACATACAAACATAATTGAAGAAAAGATCTTTATTTCTTATTCACATGTCTATCAAACTGTCAGTTTAACTGGGATAAAATAACATTGTTCTCAGAATTATGTCTGCTGCACATACAAGAAACAAAATGGCGAGCATTTCTTACAATTCCAATTTCAAAATACAATGAACATAACATCTGACCATCTCCCCAGACCTGCCCTAAACAGACAATGACCTTTGCAATAGATTCCAACCAGTTACAATTGACCTTGCCGGTTGTTGCGGTGGCGTAATTGCCCAGGAGATACACACGTGTCAATTGAAATGGTCTCTATTATACATCTCGTGAAAAATTGTCAGCATTAGTTCAAATGGGACAAATCCAATTGTTGGTTTGTCAGATATAGTTTACTTGGCTCGCCTTACCGGTATTACTCACAAATCACATATATTTCTTTGCCTTGAGATCATTTAGAATGTCTCAGATACTGATAGTGTAATTTGAGATTTGTCTGATCAAATCATTGGACTTATTTTACTCGTCCGTGCGTAGACGTTTCTTCCGCAACAAATAATTTTTGCTGTCAGTTGTTATTTGGTAGATGCATCAATGTCTGCAGTTTATTCTGAAACTTCTACAGTCACTTAACCGTTGGATGTTGCACTATAAAATGCATCAATAATGATAGGAAACTGATCTATCGTTATGCAAAGAAAACCATAGAATGTGTTGTGTATGTAGCTTGGCTGGGTAAGGATAGGAGGATTTGATTTAGGAAGTACATTCCAGGACTTGATTATTTTGCATAACTGATCATAACTTGGACTTCTAAACCGATTGTCTATTTAACGAAGCCTTAGATATACCATATTCGACGTAATAAGCTCCCAGGGCGCTCTCAAAAAAAGGGGCTCTTATTAGAATATTATTTTGGTGAAAAAAAACCAACAGAATTGAAAGATAAATTTCGTGGTTTATGCTGACAGCCTGAAATGTTTATATACGAGAGATACATTTTTCCAGAATTTAATTGCCCATAATTAAGGGTGCATATAACACACGAGTGCGTATAATAAGTGTTGTGTACATTGATCAATCGGAAGGGGTGCTAATTGGTATTGTTCACTAGCCAATATATTAGCAAATATTGCCGTGGGCGCTTATTACGTCGAATACGGTATGTAAATAATTTGAATGGACAGTCAATTTCATTTTCTTCCTAATTTTGACAGATGGTGCCATTAACTATAGTAAAGGCTAATAGTTACAACGACCATGAAGGTATTTTGGACTTTGAGATCATTACCAATAACGGTTAAACTTGTGAATTTAGAATTAATTTTTGACCTCGGGTGCCTTCTTACATCAACCATCCTCAGCAAGGCTTCAAGAAGCCAATCTCTGGCCTAGGATCTGTACCTGTCCCCCTGGCATACATACACACATCAGGGGTTGATAACAACAAGGAGTTGTTCTTTGTGGGGGAAAAAGATTAAGTCGTTTCTGAACAATCTTAATGGAACTTTCTTGTAACTGTGAAAAACAGACATCTAAAATCCTGGCTCCTAAACCATCTGCCCTGGACATGAGGTGTGTTTTCAATCTCAAGTGTTAGCTTAAATCAAAAGTTGATAAGAGGTGGCTGACACAATACAAAGAAACTGAGGCCTGCTGTGGAACTCAGCGTGAACATCCACCCTTCTTAAACACAAAGCGCAAAGGTCGTGTATACTAAATAATGGCCTAAGAAGTAAGTTTATAAAGCAAATTTGTCGAAATGAGTTTGTATGGAAAAAAATGAAATGCCACAATACGTAATGCATTGCCCTTTCCTACAAATCAAGAATCAAGAATTTCGTTTGTAGAGGACACCTATCATAAAGACACTGAACCAAATATATCCAATACAGCCCATGCAAGTCTATGTTTGGCAAGTCTCGATTACTGCCGAATCTGAAATGAATACAGTCTCTGGGCTCCTTTTTATGTTTTTTTCTTCTGCAAAATATGTTCACACGAGATATTAGTCCACAAAACTCCCTATAGGGCCAGGGTACAAACTACCTACATTTGGGACTGTGTCATTGATGTGACAAGTCACTTGAGGCGGACGATTTAGTATTCAAATTTTGAGAAGAAAAATAATGTTTCAAAATAGACTGGAACAAAATTGATCAATTGAAAAAAAAAATGTTATAAAGTTTAATGACCATAACTAAATGATCGACTCCCTCATATTCTCCGCCACATACATGATGTCTGGGAAATTTGTACCATCAACATATATGTAACAAGTGGTGGCCAGGCATGGCGTATCGGGTGAAGATATCACAATATAGAAGGGAGTATTTGTTAGAGAGAACCTTGCACATATGGCGGACTTGGATATATCTGATGATAGAAACTGAAATATAGGCGAGGCGGGCCAAAAGCTGTTGATGATGGAGTTATGACTCCAGTTATCCAGTTGTCAGAATTTGGTGAATTTGCCACTTTGGAGATATATCAGGTGAAAATCAACAGAGATTTCCATATATCCCTTACATGACTAATGTTTTTGCCACACTGCTGACGGAAAATTTCAAACATGGTCATATCAATATCCAAACATATTTTTCATTTATTTTTTCCCATGCAATATGGTTTCTTTACATATATATACAATTTAAAAGAAGTTAAAAAACACCCAATTTTTTCATGACTTTAGTTAATCTGTCGTGGTTCCTTAAATTCTTTTGAGAAGTATATATGTTCATACACTACAAGGAACACATTTTTTTTGTCCAATTTAAAAAAACTTAGTGCGGAAACTTTTTAAGGAGGCTGAATTTGGTATAATGAGGTGACTTGGAGCGACCGAGATTCTTGTAAACGAGCATGATGTTAAGTGCACATTTGTTCCAGATGACCATATTTCACTTTAACCCAGCCAGGCGAGCTAGTCAACCCAATTGGCATAACCATGACATTTTCCCCTGGAAGAAATTTACACCTTTTTCAACTTTTAAATGAGATTAAACAAACCCTTTCCCCAAACTATGTCTGATTTATCTCATGAATCAGGCTACTTTTCACGTAACGAATTGATTTCTTCTCAATTCTTTGAGACTTTCCATGGGTAAGTTTGAAAATGAAAGCAGGTCCCTCGACAGTCTTTTCTACATGCATACTCCTTATTGCATAGAGTACAGCCAAACACTCACTCCACTTTCAACAGATTTATCTGGAGAGCAGTGAGAGGAAGTTTTTCATCCTTGATTGGATCTGGGAATAATTCGAAAGAAAAACTGGCAATTACACACATTTGTGTCTAACAAAGTCGGACTGCTCAGCAATGAATAAATAATTAATGTCAAAAGCATTACTGCTAGTTGATGAGGGGATAGAAGAGTTAAAAGAGCTTTAATTGCTGCAGTGTTCAAAAAACATCGCCACAGATACAGGAAGGTATTTATTACAGTTGTCACAAGAGCTAGGTTTCCGAGTTTCTGAATGGTTCCCAAGACGAGGAAAAAAACATCTTTTCTGGAAGTTTTCTGTTTCAAACTGCATTGCATTATCTTAAGTACGTAATGGTAGAATAACTTCTTATAGTCTCAGATAAAGTCTAGACCACTTTCATGCCAGTTAAGACCCGGAACCCCAAGGGCATAGATTTGCATTACAAGCTACTCAAATTTTGATAGGGACATTCTGAGCGTCTGGCATGGATGGAATACTTCCAGATATGTTGTCACACGAACAGTATTTCCATGGATCTGACACAATCTAAGCTTCTTCTCAAGTTAGATAAAAACAAATACATACAACTACTTGTCCTTGGAATTGGTAACAGTATAGGCAGCTCAGTAACCCTATGAAAATTTGAGTAGTATAGATGCAAAGGTGATACATAAATATTCATGCTGCTGTTTTCTTCTGTCGATTTAAGTGTGTAAAAATCAGTTCTTGCAAGATCAATCGGGGGCACTAAAACGTATGAGGCTGTTGTGAGTGCTTCCGAAAAAACAAGTAACTTGATAGATAGCATAAAGTTCTGTCAATAAGCTCTGTGAAAGGCATAAAATACAGTTAGTTTGGTAAACTTAACCTAGTCGTCAGTTCGGTTTCTTCATCTAAAAGCATGCATGTTTGTGCATCATGAGAAATGTTTGCAATAGTATATTTCTAGGACTGCTCAGTGGAAGCGAGGTTATTTCTCTCTTCGTGCTGGTGTTAATTCTTCAGAACTTTACTTTGAAGTGCTATCTGTTAGTTCTAGAAGATGGGATCTCCGAGAAAAAGCAACTCAAGATAACGCAGCCTAGTTTTATGACTGCCGGGGAAATGTGCTGCCAGATTAACAAATCAGCAAAGCAAGTTGTAACACCTTCCCAGGATGCACCTCTCTTATCGGTCAGATCTCCGACAAAAAAACAGGTAGACAGACACCGCCCTTGCTAAGGTCCTTGATCTAGGACGTGGTCATAGTGTTGGGAGTGTCATAAACCTGATGTCAGGAGAGAGTTGCTGCAACTATTTAGCCACAGAAGAGAACAGTAAAATGGGGAGACAATGAATACCAGCTGTCAACTGACTATGAGTGAGTCTGTCTGCATAGTCCGTGAGTCTGTCTGCATAGTCTGTGACTCTGTCTGCATAGTCTGTGAGTCAGTCTGCATAGTCCATGAGTCTGTCTGCATAGTCTGTGAGTCAGTCTGCACAGTCCGTGAGTCTGTCTGCATAGTCCGTGAGTCTTGTCTGCATAGTCCGTGAGTCTGTCTGCATAGTCCGTGAGTCTGTCTGCATAGTCTGTGAGTCTGTCTGCACAGTCTGTGAGTCAGTCTGCATAGTCCGTGAGTCTGTCTAGTGTTATTGGAACAAAATTGGACAGCTAAGAAATTTTGACAAAAATGCTGCACCAAATGCAACAAGGACCATATCAGCATTACGACTATCGTAACTTTCCCATTTCCACAGACTCACGACAATCATTGTGCTAAATTCCGTTGTTAAACAAGCCCAAGACCGTATCAAAACACATATAGATAAACTTGCATACGATTATGACCAGACGAAATTCGTCCAAAATTAAGCCCCTTATTCCAAAATATTGTAGGGGTTGTTTTCCATATAGAACAGGTTTTCTTCACTGACCTTCTCTATAGTCTGGAGGCAGCGGTTAGCATCATTCTGTAAACCAAGTTTGAGTTCTGGGGAATATCTAATGCCACAAAATATACATCAAGTCATAGCTATAAAGGAAGAAGCTTTGTGCATGCTTATCTGATAATGATGAAGACGTGCAGCGCCATAGAAACGTGCATGCACCGTCCCAAAACAGATACATTATACACAAATATGACACCTAGCAATGAAGCCAAATTATTTTCTCATAACGTTGCTTGATGGGGCAATTTTAAGTCCAGTTGAGCGAGAGTCAAGATTCGTTCTTCCTCTACCAGAGCCAAGCTACATAACTCGTACCTCATCAAACGCTTTATGGTTTTGGAGACTGTCGGAAGAATCAATAGGCAATGATTTGACTACATTCTATGAAAACAACAACGACTCACAGAGATAACATTGTCACTTATGTTTGATAAGAAAAACTTACACATCAATTGCAAAAATAACAAGAATTATGATACGGACATGTATTTTCAGAGACAAAATGGGTCTTCTACATTTTCTGCTTTGTGTAAAGTTGTTTTTATCTTGAAAATTAGAAAAACATCTCTATTGATATTTTCTTCATTTTTTGAAACAATAAAAGATCAGGCCAAGCAAAACACATTTGATTACCTCTGCATTCTGACATTGTTTGAGAAAATCAATAGATTAAAAATATAGCTGTGCTGAAGAAAACAATTTTTTGTTAGAAATCAAAAGTACTTTTGACATGCCTTGAATGACACTGAATAGCAATATTTTTCAATGTTTTAGGGAAGTAGTATTTCATTACTGAGGGGATTTTGCATGTAAAAATCAGTTTCTCACAAAACTATTTTTTTGTCATATATGCAGCTAATATCTGTCGATTGTCCGACTGGCATCACCATTTCACAAATCTCGAGCCAAGATTAATCTCCGATTTCCTATGGGAGGGCTTACAGTTGCAAAGCTTCAGCTGCCAGAACTGGTGTGAACAGGGTGACAATAAAATCGCAGATAATACCCGCAGCTGCGGAAATTGCAGTCCAAGTAGTGGGAAACGGAGTACAATATTCCCCGAGTTCTAATTCAGCCTGGTCCAAATTGTCAGCTAGTGATTTCCAATTAATTTTCATTCGCTGCTGGTGGTGTACTTAGGGTTGTAAGATTGACTGTATCATAATCTACTACAACCAGGATACCTTCAGAATTAGAATCTATTTGGCATTTTAGGAAAGACCCGAGGTATTCAGATCGACAAGAATGATCATGAGGGAATCTAAAGACGAATCTTAAGATGTGATGAGGTATGAGCTGTACAAGACAGCCCTCATGAGGTAAGCAGACAAGTCATCAACACGTGAGCTCAACCAGAATTGAGAAACACTCCAGTTCAACCAGAATTGAGAAACACTCCAGTTCAACCAGAATTGAGAAACAAATTTTGAAATAATTCAGGAGACAGCACGTATCATAATGCAACACTTACCAGTTGGAGGGGAAACCATTTAGCAATTTGAGAGAAGGAAAGACGTTTTGGGTCCATAATTGGATTGATTAGGAACATATGCTGATTTTAGCAGTATTTTAGTGATTTTGGGTCTGGGATACCAAAAAAGGGTTCATAAGAGTTATCATAATGAGGAAACAAACCCTGATCTTTGGCAAGACAGTTTTGTTTGGTTTGTTTGTCGTTTACTGCCGCACTCAGCAATATTCCAGCTATATGACAGCAGTCTCTAAATAATCGAGTCTGGACCAGACAATCAAGTGATTGATGTTATGAGCATCAATCCACGAAATTGGGATACGATGACATGCATCAACCAAGTCAGAGAGCCTGACCACCTGATTCCGTTAGTCACCTTTTACGACAAGCATAGTCGCCTTTCACGGCAATCATGGGTTGCTGAAGACATATTCTACCCCGGATCTTCACGGGTCCTTTAGCAGGACAGGTGAACACCTCAACTACTGGGCCAGAGAAAAAGACATAACATTAATTCACGTTACTGAATATCTCTAAAAACAACAGCAAACCAACTGACACGTCCACTACTTCTAACTCTCTTGTGATGACCTTGCACAGATAAATGAAACATATAATCGACACCCATGAGGTTCAACGTTAACCAATCAATGAGTACTACTTTCTGTACAACACTCCACCAAAGTGTCCCTCACTCAGCATCAAGATAAGCCGATCATTATCTTACACCGACACAACCAGAATGGCTACAACGGGGCAGCCATTAGTTTCCCCACTCCGCAATATTTGCAGCCTATTGTGAAAGTATCGATGATCATTATTGATACAAATTGTGATAGAAACTGCAATGTGACTTTGTAAATATTTGGGCAAGCGATGCCAAGGGCACCCCGACCAAAGAACTTCCTATTTCCACTTTGATGAAAGCAACCCCATTGCTGCAAATATTCATTTGTAATGAAGTTATTTTAAGGCACTTATTAAATATTTTTTTAATCATACGAAGAAATAAATAGCAAACAGGGAATCGCTTCATCCATCGTTTTTCCTATTTGTTGAAACCTCTCATTGACATTTCACCCGAATCTGAACAACCTTACGATTCCCGAAAAAAGTGAAATTAGGGGATAATCTTATCAATCTCGAGCCACATGAATACGATTTTACAAATCAAGTCGAAGACATCCTCATTTACGTCTGATTCAACCCTGAACAAACAGGACTTCATTTTCTAAAGAATTTCTTTGTTGTGGATGTAAATACATCTCCTCGGCCATTGCGACTAAATGCAACACAGTTGATTAAAGCCTATAAGCTATTAGGTGGGTGTTTTCCCTTGCCTCGTCTCAATCCATATCTATGTGAGAATGGGATGTGCATTCCAAAAGATCTCGTACAGGCTGATTGGAATTTAATTGAGCTTCTGCAACTGGATAAATAGTCGTGCTCATAAATCACGCCTGCCTGTCGGTCTAAAAGTCCAGCCGGAGCCTCCGAGTCCGCACAGACCCTGATCAATCTGTGTACAATGGCAGACCACATCAATCTGGCCCTACATCGAATCTAAGAAATAAATGTGATTGTGCTGATCTACTCTGGGATAATAGAGCTTATTGCCCTAATACACTTGGGTTAGAGGTTCACGCTAGTAATGTCGGCAAGCCTGCTCTACATTGTCATATAATCTGTGTTATTGGTAGGTGGACAAGATCTAGTGGCAGTTATTACAACATGTCCGTCACATTGGCCGCCATGGATATCATTGTCTTGGTTTACTTGCATTTTGAGTGAGTGAGTGAGTGGGTGAGTAAGATTTTACACTTTTAGCAGTATTCAAGCAATATTTCAGCAAAAATGGGCTTCAGTGATTTGTTGTCATTGCTTGTTGTTTAATGCCGCACTCAGCAATATTCCAGCTATATGACAGCGGTCTGTAAATAATTGAGTCTGGACCAGACAACCCAGTGATTGACATCATATGGGAAATTAAACCTGAGTGATAAGCAAATGTTTCAACAACGAAGCTGCCCCATTAACATTTTTAACAAAATTAAATTTATTTATTTTAAAAAAATTATAAGCAGATGGATTTTTTCATCTGAAGAATTCAACAGAAAGTATGGCAATTATTAAAACATTTCAAAATAATTCTTTTATGACTCATGAAGGTATTTTTTCTGTAGTTTAGTCCGACTTTGCAAGAGTTCCATATTGAACCTATACAGAACCTCAAGTTTCCTGCACCTGAAGTGGCATCAAGTTTTAAAGCCAGTTGGTTTTCTAATCAGGGACGATGGTAATGGATGGAAGCAGTTGTGTCAACAACTATCTTGTCAATTCTTTTTCATATCTTCTCTCTCGGTCTGATCCCATGACCCTGGGTGCATAGCCATAACATAGGTATAGCACTGGCGTGATATCGTTCCCATCGCATCCCGGTGATAAATTCACATAACGCCTACTGCTGGGGTACTTATGATGGGAGGCTTGTCCGAAGGGAATCCAAGCATCAATGATTACCAATATATACTAATGTGAGCCTACTCTTTGCTCGCAACATTCTTGTCTAAAATCTCGGGAAATTATCTTCGACCACCATTAACCAAAGCGTGTGCTGAGAGCTTTTAACAAGAAGATAGAGACTACAAGCAACACATAGACATTTTTGTTCCATGATGAGCAAATATTTGAGTGCTAAAAGCTGTGATGAAGGGAGATAACTCTGATGAAATGTGAAGGAGTGTTAGAGCAATCCTGCTGGGGTATTAGAGATATCCTCACATCGGTAAAAAGGATTCCACACATTTTTACAAATACTTTGAAATTTACCGTGGGTATTTCCAAATGCCAAAATTGAAAAAAAGGTTGCTATGAATGATTTTAACAGGGGAAATTTTCAGAATATCAACAAAAATAAATAATCTTACTGATGATTGTGTGATGAGGCAATAACAGTGCCATGATAACAGTCATAACAGAAAGATAAGCGAATGATACTCCTGAAAATACACAAACCATTCCGGAAAATCACCGACACATTGCAGCAGGCAGCCATTTTGAGCATTCTTATGCAATCAGCATGCATGTTAGTTATTCGGCATTGATTTTGCATGCATGTACTCGCAGCCATGGCATTATTACAATTATCTTAAGTGAGATCACATTTCTCCTCATTTATTTCTCATTTCTCCACTATTACCTAACCCAAACCAGCTGTAACCTAAATTGACCAGAGATATTATCTGTTGTACGCAAGCAGTATGGCACAGCCCAGGCTTTCCACGTGAAATGGCTCAATTCCTTTTAGCAATATCTGTTTCATATTCCATTTTTTAAAGCTATTTTTTCAAGTTTAACTCATTCAATATTTCATAATCATCCATCCTGCAAATAACAATATTATTACATTTGAAAAGAGCATTAGAAATAGAATTGGCTGAATGAAAAAATAATTGAGAGCAATCTTTTTTAAAAAAAACAACACAATTTTCATAGCACATATTCATAGCATGATACAATGAATGAAGTTTACAATATTCAAAAATAGCTACAAAATTATGAAAAGGTCTCTTCTTACGTGTGTCGAAAAATAAGCTGCCTATCTATGATAAGAAGTAGTGGTTGGGAAAGTAGCATGGAAGAAAGGAGAGGGCGACCCTACAACTGATTGAAGATTTCAATACATTGTAAGCAAAACCAATTAGAACAGATGCATGTTCTCTCACAAACACAAGACAGCAATTTAAGTTGCTTAGTCTCTGAATCTGACACAAATGGTTTAAAATGAGGAAGCTTATGCTCCAAAATCGTCAAATTAGAGGCAGTCTTAGATATTATCAGTATTAAGCCACAGGTTCTTCATAACAACATGTGTTTTGTGTAGATATCTATCACAGGACCAGCAATAGCTGCTCACGCTGAGTTCAAAATGAATCATCTACACAATAACATAAGCATGGATTTAATTCCCAAATTCATGCCAAAATTAAATTCCTATCAGTATGCTTGGGGACCTTTACATCAGAAATCCCTACAATGTCATATGATACATAATTAAAGTAGAATTTGATACTTTTGTCAACTTAATCTCAAATTTTAAAGGATTTATTCTGATGCAATTCATAAAAACGAAGCCCCAGTGAGTCAGGAAACGTGATACGTTCAGGGATAAGTCAATCTTCCTCTTGATGAATTCTTGTCTTGCGCCTAAATGCTTCCAAAATCAAATTATCTTCAGGCTTTATGGTTGGTTAGTGTTTTCAGAATGAGAGTCTGTCCGGTTGTGAAAGGTTCATACACTGGGATTAGATTGTGAAACGAGGCATAAATATACCCCCATTAAATGCATGTTGGCCAAAGCATCCCCTGGAGATGAAGCAGGGGATCACACCATCAGTATTTCATAAGCGGATGAAATTTCAAAACACACTGTCCACCTATCTCCTTCATACACCGAATATCATGTATTGCTGGAAAACCGACACCATTCCGATGACTTTAATTCCTTTATAGGAAACCCCAGTGTGAGATTTGTTTACGTTTCATGAAGAGTTTTCCCTCCTACTAGGAGGAGCTCTTTTTCTCAAGGAGGAACACTATACTATTAGCCAAATAAACAAACAGTAATAAATATTATCGCTATGCTAACAATTTTCTTCCTTTTTTTTGTGACTTTAAATTTCTGTGTCCATGGATGGAGACACTTATCATTCCCAAATATCATACATCACGTAAATTGTTCTAGAACATGATTTCACGGACAAATGGTATTAACAAATCAAACAGTTGAAGTATGTTTTCTTGGTAATAAATACCAGTTCAAAAGGATACATCCATGTATGAAGTTTGATAAAAATTACAATACAGCCTTGAGTTCTTTCCCACCATGATCAGAGAGAAAATTGAGAAGAATTGACACAAAACAGGACTAAAAGAAAGTTTATGTATTCAATGTGAACATAAAAGCATCCGAAACGGTCTAAATTTGACAAAAAACAATAAAACTATCCAGTTAAAGCAACATATCGCAGGTAGTTGTGTGAATTTTGACCCAACATTCCCCATCGACATTTACGAGGAAATACGAAACTTACGAAACCCGCACAGGCATCATGGAAACAAAGAATAGGTAAAATATGTAAATCGTGAACACCGCAATAAATGTCCTCCTTAACTCTAAGTAAGGGGAGCACCAACAAATCTAGACCACCAGTGAAGAGAAAACCCTACGGACATTCTACCCTCTCCGACATCAAAGGCCTGATAATAACAAAAACACCAAGATCGCTTTCCTGTACCTCGGCGAGAATGGAAACTTGACAAGGGAGACACATTATAAAGGGCGATATATGGACTCCATAAAAAGATCTTTAAGGTGGGAAACGAATCAATTTGATAAAGGTTAAGTTTATCTTTTTCTCAGCCCTAATTAGGTCTGTGACCCAGTGTTATCAAGCAACAGGGTTAATGGGTACCTATTCTTTGTAAACACACCTGAGAAATAGCCCAGGGTGCCGCTGTACAAAACAACCATAGCGCTACGACTGTCGTAAGTCTATGTTAAGGTATGGGAGTTACGACCACCTTAGCGCTAAGATCGCTTTGTACAACGGCACCCAGGAAATAATGGACCTGTCAGCTGGTAACGCAATTGTAAGGCAGGCACAAACTTGTAAAATTTGGTGATATACAAGATAATATTAATCAGAAACTGTTGCCTCACAAGGTGACAATGTAACTGTTTGATATACTGTACCCATTAAGGTTTAATACCTTGTAATAACAATCACACAACAATATGATCTATCTAATACGGCAAACAGTAACATTATCTTACATTAAAGAGGGCCTGGTCGTATTACTGGATAGCGTCATGTCAAACATGATCATAATTATCTTTTCTATATTTTTCAAAATGGGCAATAACTGTCAGAATAATCAAATCAAATGTCTATTTATTTGTATAATGGACGTTCTGTTTATATTTCTGCCTGACCGGTTACTATTTATCCTTAAATCTACATCCAACGGAGCATGGCAGCCCACGACTTCAATAAAACCAGTCAACCATACTCCCCTTCGTTCTCAGTGTACGTCTGTAAGCATGTACAGGTATTCCCAACCCATGCTGTTTAATGTCCCTCTTCATCACTTATCTAATTGATGAAGTATATCATTCCTTGTAAATCCATATCGCTTACACTTTAATGTCCATGATGTACAAAAAGAATGATATCCGTTGCTTTTACATCACTGCTTTGATGTCAACATTACATCACATGCTGTCTGGTCCTTGTAGTTAATGGTGGACTTTTATCACATGTTGCAACATTAAGTTCAGAAAGTCGATTGTGTAAAATATGTCTTTTTCAGAAAAGTTTCATATTTTCAAAGGCAGGTCATGGAAGATGGCAAAAGCTTGTTCAGGAATGTGATATTGCTTGTTCAGTATTTGTTAGAGAGTTGAGACAGGTCTATTCAAGAATACTAAAGTATCAAAATGCCTGCCCCTTTAACAGAATGGGTATTTTCAAAGTGGCTGCTTTTATCGTGAAAATGTTCAATACTGTGCCATGTAAGGACTAGTGTAGGGTACGTATTGAAATAGCAGGTATCCAGATTCTTGGGGGTCTAATTAAGTAATTCCGGCATTATCAAAGTAACATGTCTCTCGTGATGAAGCTTCATTGTCCAGATTCTTCAGTGTCAACTTAAGTCACGTTCAAGTGATGCAAATAGTCCACAGTGATTAAATCTTTACTGTCCAGTTACCAAAGTGTCCACTTTAGAGAGTTATGGTATTGTGAGCAAGTGAGTTGGGTTTAACCCTGCTTTAAACAGTATTCTAGTTATATCATGGCATGTCAAGCCCAAAGTGATGAGGTCCTAAGATGTTTATCACTTTGGTGAAGATGTTTATCACTCTGGTGAAATTCACAAGGATGGTGCTGACAAACCTATAACAGAATCGGGGAGAATTGGGATTCGGACCCACGACCACAGCTATCTGGCATGCCAAAGGGATGCAACTCTGCACACTGAATTTTGGAGCCTTAGACAAACTGCCCACCTGACCCACCCCAATGGTCTTGTATATGACAGCCACTACCACAACATGTCATAATAAATGGATCAACATTATTTGTTTTTGTTTGTTTGTAGCACTCAACAAAATTACACAAAAATAGAGTCTCAACCTGACAATCCAGTGATTGATATCATGAGCATCGATCCACACAATTGGGATACAATGACATGCATTTACCAATTCAGCGAGTCTGACCACCCAATCCTGTTAGTCGCCTCTTACGACAAGCATGGGTTGCTGAAAACCTATTCTAAACTGGATCTTCACAGGTCGGATCCACATTAAGAAGTGTGATATAAATGACTACTCACCTCACTGATGAATATATCTGTGACCTCGTCCTCCAGGGACCCGTAGCACAAGGTCAGACCCAGCTTCTCCTCACTCGACACCCGGTGCAGCACCACCTCCTGCAATATCAACATCATCATCAAAACATCATCATCAAAATCATCATCATTAACATCAACATCAACCTCATCATCAACCTTATCAACATTTCCAACACTATCATCATCATCATCATCATCAACCTCATGAACATCATTATCATCATCATAAGGACAATCAATAAGCTGTCTGGTCAAGACTTGATTATTTACATACCGCCGTCATATAGCTGGAATATTGCTGAGTGCGGCATTAAACAACAAACCAACCAACCAACCAACCAATCAATCAATAAGATGTGGAAGTCAGTAATATTTCAGTGGCTTCAAGACATTCATAGTTCCATTACCACGGACTGATAATAACGTGAGTGCTACAATCTCTCAGTGACAGTCCCTGTTCCACCAAGCCAATTTAGCACTGCTATTGTCTTAAGCCTATGTGACACTATGGGAGTTAGGATCGCCTTAGCACTAAGATCACTTTGGGAATGAGGTCCTTGTCTACAGCAAATCAAGTATCATATCAACCACAAATCTGGGTTCGAATTCACACGAATACAGCCAGTCAAAACTAAATCACATTCACTTGAAGAGAAACTTGAGAAAATCATGTCTTTACCATGCATTCAAGCTATTGGCAAATAAATGGTTACAATAACACCTAATTATTTTGCCTACAGTGAAAATAAAAAATAAATCTGTTTATAAAGGACCTTATATTTCTACACAACAAATTGTGTGAAATGGTTAATTCACATTGCTGACACTGCTAACAACTATTATTTTCTGTCCCTTGGACAGAGTTTGTAACCTCAATTAGGATATGTTCTGATTTACATTTCATCATAAACCCCCTCACAGTAAATATCTTTACATTCATCTTGTCAGTCTCACAAGCCAAGTCAAGCACCCTGTCAAGCACCTTGTCAACAGAGATTGAGCAACTCTTCACGATAACAAGGTGAGATACACTTTATGACAACATGGAGGATTTAACACACCTGGGGTATAAATCTTGTTATGAAATACTATTTGCTTCCCACTCCTAACAAGTTGTTACTGTTAAGATTAATAATCCTCTTATGGTATGTATATAAATATGACCTTGACACTTATGACCTTTCTAACCGAAGAGGCAAATAATCTGAATCACCCATCTCACATATTTTTCTTTGATGTGAAAGACTTTTGATATGCTATAGTTAAAAAAAACAGCAATAAAAAATGAAAAATAGTAATAAAGAAAAAAGGAGAAACTAAAATATTCAAAAGATTTTTCAAGATGAAAGAACTGAGACGTGACACTGTAGCAGATGTCTCATTTGGACAATATTCTGTGCCTATAGGTCTGTGTTTTTCTTTGAAAGGCAATCTTAATCCTACAGATCAAACATGGTACCTTGAAACCGATACTTTCCCAGCATCGGCTTGGCATGGCCATCAGCGTTACTTTCACATGACTGGACAAGCATGTCAAGAAAATGACATGCTATGTCAGACATGACAATTAGGCTTTCAAAAGGTCTCAAGTTTATAACAGGCCGTGTTCATGGCTAGGTCTCCCCAATACTTTCCCCATGATCTAAACACTGTCACTCGACAGAGAATATTAGCGTGAACTTATGACCCGAGCACGGGTCTATTGTGTTTTATGTGTGTTTTATAGGAGATTGATAGAGATGAAGCTGTTTAAGCAGATTAGACGTATCTAGTTGACATCTCATTTCTGTCTCCAAGTTCAATCACCCGGAAAATCCACAAGAGAGCCTGACTTCGTAGTCATTGATGTGTATCAAAAACCCTTGTAAACCCTAACTTCCTATAACTAGAAATACCAAGGGTCGGACATAGTAAACCATATGCTTTTCATTCAGCTACGATTAAATCCTTCTAATTTATAACTGTCCATGCAGATGATAGCCGTATAAAATTTCAATTAGGGCTCCACAGAGGACAATATAAGCTTTCATCAGCTATGGTATTAAGGAAGGGTGTTTTAGTTCATGTGTTCAGGAGAGTGGGCATAAACAGTGGTGAATTGAGTGGACTTTGAATGAAGTTTGTGACATGTTGTCAATGAGGTATGAATATTAAACTAATTAAGTTGGTATTTTTAGACGGCCTTTGTTCCATCAATATCATGACAATACTTGTCTATAAACAGGTGGTATTCCGCCAACCCTTGTCAAGTCATCCATGTTGAGTGTGCTTGTCACAAGATATGAACAAGACTAGGAGGTAATTCAAGTATCAAGGCTGTACCATCTCCATAATTAGTGAGTGAGTATGGTTTTAAACTACAATATTTCAGCAATATAAAGGCGGGTAACACCAGAAATGGGCTTCACATATTGAACCCAATGAGGAATTGAACCTGGATCTTCGGTGGACAAGCAAGCGTTTTAACCACAAGGCTATCCTACCACACCTCTTCATAAAAAACTCATTAACTATCTTTGTCTCCTTGTTCATGTTTTGGTATTCATCAATTAGAACCTTAGAAAAAAAGGCTTTTTTTTATTTATCAGTAGTCAAATAATGCGTAATATATAGCAGCTTGGGAATTGATTAAATACTGAAATGTAATGTTTTCTTCAAATGGAGAACACCGTTTTAAACCACTACTACTTCACAAGCTTTTGAAACAGAGTGATCCTCTCTCTGTGTGCCTAACTGTGATACAAAGAACGTTACTGAAATAAGATCCCCTTTGAAGATGATAACACTCATTTTAATCTTTGAATTTTGCTCAAGAAGATGAAGCTGAAAAATGTAACATTTTGACCTTTGGTTTGTTGCTTATCTCTGAAGATTTGCACAAGACCGTGGCATGACTACATCATTGCCTAGAGAACCCTCATGCTCAGACATATCGTTAATTTTGCAACAGTAGCTGTCTTTCTGTAACAACTCGTCATTCAAGTTTTATGAACTGAGTCAAGTTACACATACTCTGTAGCAAGGAAAACATTTATCCTAAGCCTTTGTCCAATTCTTTTGATTCAGGTGACCTAGGAAAATATCACATGTGTTTTTTTCTAATAGAACCAATTATTCTTCTCCTGCCAAGCCCTATCGTGTGTCTACAGAAACAGAGGCAGATTATAGATAAGGTTATGTGTGTCTCCTGGGTGGTGATGACCTATACAAAATATGATGATAATGGCCACTATTTTAAAACATAATACTTGACATGGGAAACATTTCTTTTTGAAACTGAACAATGCCACTTGTGTGGGTATTTGAATAAAAGATTTTTTCGATCTGTTTTGTTTGAAAGGCTACACAATAGGACGTAAATATCAAATTTAAAAAGAAAATCAAATTTGAATATTTCCAATTCTTTCCTATGGGCTTGACATTCTATCAAATTATGAAAGAATGAAAGGTATTTGGAATGTTTGAACTTTAAATACAGAAAACATTATGATATCAGATTTGTTTGGGGAACGTTCCCAGAAGCAGCCAGGAAGTCATGCACCAGATTACTGAACCAACTATCAACATGCAGGGTGGGACGCGGCCATCTTAACGGAATCTCACAACATCACATTTTGTCTTTGCTTGTTGACCAAGCTGGATGAGGCTCCTGGCATGCACCTAAAACCACAAAATAGCTGTCTAATTTGCCAGAGGAACCCATAGACTTGGGGCTGAGCAGGTAACTTCGCTTTTGCCCTTTGCGGTAATGGTTCCAGCACACGGCAGCCATTATGAGGGTTGAAGGGTTGGAGGCACAAGCCTTGAAATTGTTTACAGCCTGCCAGTATGCATGCTGGAATTCATGGAAGGTTCGGAGGAGATAAAAATGTCCGGATCCAGGTAGAGTTGTTCCTGGCTAAAACACCATGAACTCGGAACAAACAGTCTTCGGATGACCATCTGCCGATGCAGGGCATTGGTAGCAGAGGAACCCATCCCGAACCTCTTTTCAAAGAAAAACTATTAGCAACAACACATACTTCCTTCTTATTTATGAGCAGGAATCCTTCTGATCTTCTCTGACCCACATATTCAAAGAAACATGTCAGCCGTGTTATGAAGTTTCACATTTTAACAACCCAATCACATCCAATCCCTTGCCCAATCCCTACCTTTTAACCTAGATACGAATTGGTAATAATCAGGACCTAATGTTACCACAATAATTTAGAAGGAGTACTTAGAGAACAGTGGACATAAAACATTCCCATCTGTGCAATGCTTTCAACGTGTAGGAATTTCGCCATTTCCTAAATGGGCTAATCCTCTAACGTCTATTGACAATGATATACCTGATAAGCTAATGGACAATTTGGCAATATGGTCAAGCAACACCAACTTGTGACAATTGTAGCCAAATCGGTCAGTGGCGTGATGAACTGAGGCTAATGGCAGCAATCCATACCTCCCGATCTCATGGCAGTACATCACCTTCCTCGAACCGCTAGACCTTATTTGCTAATGGCGCCAGAACCAAAGACGAAGATAACGGTGTGGCAAAACACCCAACAATGTCTGTGAGAATGCTTGCATTCATTATGGGGGATTAGTCTTCAAGATATTACACAAATTATTTTGGGCATGATTCCATTAGGAGTTTATTGACCATCAAAGCATTAGCCTTTGTGAATCATTGTTTTTGTGGTTCCACGTGTCCTGTATAAGTTAAAGGCAGTTGCCTGGGTGTGCTGTATATTCAACAGACCAGCATATTCCCAGTAATAACACCTGATGTCCTCCATCACATCAAAGACCAACGAAGCCATTATAACAAGTGTTTTTCCTTTGTGACCCCTGATGACCTTCAGCTGGGTGAGAGTGGGAAGTGCTACTATTCTCTTGACAACTTAATATTACGGAGGGGAGTTAACCCACATAGGGCAGGGTTCGGATCAAAATAGGGGCATGTCTCAGGAGTGGGTTTTTGATCCCCAGCGGTTATGGGTTTGTAGGGGTTTGCCACCTTTGTACTTATACTGAAGACACAGGGGAGGGACAGGAGGGAGAGGGGGGTGGACAAGGTGAGAGGGGGTAGG